TTTTTTGAGACAGAGTCTCTCGCTCTGTCGCTCGGGCTGGAGTGAGCACCGTGGCGTCAGCCTCGCTCACAGTGGCCTCAGGCTCCTGGCCTCCAGGGAGCCTCCCGCCTCGGCCTCCCTCCCGAGTAGCTAGGACTACAGGCATGCGCCACCACGCCCGGCTCATTTTTTCTTTTTCTATATATTTTTTTAGTTGGCCGATTTATTTCTTTCTATTTCTTATAGTAGAGACGGGGTCTCGCTCTTGCTCAGGCTGGCCTCGACCTCCCGGCCTCGCCCGAGCCTCCCGCCTCGGCCTCCCTCCCGAGTAGCCGGGACGACAGGCGTGAGCCAGCTCTGTGTGTCTTGCCTTTAAGTGGGCGGACTCCGCGAAGTCGCCTGTCCTCGCCCCTGTCCCCGGGGAAGGGCGGGGACCCGACCAGCGGCCAAGAGAACAGCTAGTCTCTCTCTCTCTCTCTGTCTCCCTCCCCGCCCGTCCGCTTGGGGACTCTTGGGGCCTCGCAGGACCGGGGTGACAATAGCCGGGACATGCTCTGTGGCCTCCGCGGGGAGACCCCTGGAGAACCCGGTAGGTGTGTGGAGGCCCGGGTGGAGGTTCCGATGTGGAGGCCCAGTGAGGAGGCTGGGAGGCCTTGGGACGGGTTGAGGCCGGGCCGGTGGGCGGAATGGGGGGGGGGGAGGCTGCCACTCTCCGGAGAGACCCGGGGATTTCGGAGAGAGTCAAGGAGTCCGGGCGGACCTGGAGGCCGGGGGCGGCGGAGGCTGCCGGCCTCAACAGGACGGCCCCACGAGGCAGCTGGTGGTGGCTTTTGCCCGAGCTCGGTGGGGGGAAAAGGGACCTGCTGTTTCTTTTTATTTTTGGAGACAGAGTCCCGCTCTGTCGCCCCCGGGCTGGAGTGAGTGCCGTGGCGACAGCCTCGCTCACAGCGGCCTCCGACTCCTGGCCTCCAGCAATGAGCCTCCCGCCTCGGCCTCCCTCCCGAGTAGCTGGGACTACAGGCGTGCGCCTCCACGCCCGGCTCGTTTTCTCTCTGTATATTTTTAGTCGTCCAATTAATTTCTTTCTATGTTTAGTAGAGACGGGGTCTCGCTCTTGCTCAGGCTGGCCTCCAACTCCTGGCCTCAAGCGAGCCTCCCGCCTCGGCCTCCCTCCCGAGTAGCTGGGGCGACAGGCATGCGCCTCCACGCCCGGCTCGTGTTTTATTTTCTATTTTTAGTTGCCCATCTAATTTATTTTTAGCAGAGACGGGGTCTCACTGTTGCTCAGAGGCTGGCCTCGACCTCCTGACCTCCTCGAGCGAGCCTCCTGCCTCGGCCTCCCAGAGTGCTGGGATGACAGGCGGGAGCCTCCGCGCCCGGCTAAATTTTTTCCATATATTTTTCTAAATATTTTTAGTTGCCCAACTAATTTCTTTGTATTTTTAGTAGAGACGGGGTCTCGCTCTTGCTCAGGCTGGTCTCGAACTCCTGACCTCGACTGAGCGAGCCTCCTGCCTCGGCCTCCCTCCCGAGTGGCTGGGACGACAGGCGTGCGCCACCACGCCCGGCTTGGTTTATTTCAATATAATTTTAGAAAGAAAAGAAGGAAGGAAAGAAATAAAGAAAGAAAGAGAGAGAGAAATAGAGAAAAGAAAAAGAAAAGAAGGAAGGAAAGAAAAGAAAGAGAAAGAAAGGAAGGAAGAAAAAGAAAAGAAAAGAAAGGAAGGAAGGAAAGAAAGAAAGAAAGAGAAAAGAAGGAAGGAAAGAAAGGAAGGAAGAAAAAGAAAGGAAATGAAGGAAGGAAGGAGAGAAAGAAAAAGAAAAGAGGGAAAGAAAGAGAGAGACAAAGAAAGAAAGGAAGAAAAAGAAAAGAAAAAGGAAGGAAAGAAAGAGAGAAAGAAAGAAAAAGAAAGAAAGGTAGGAAAAGAAAGAGAAAAGAAAAAGAAAGGAAGGAAAAGAAAAGAAAGGAAGGAAAGAAAGAAAAGAGGAAGGAAGGGAAAGGAAAGAAAGAAAGAAAAGAAAGAAAAAGAAAGAGAAAGAAAGGAAGAAAAAGAAAAGAAAAGAAAAGAAGGAAACAAAGAAAGAGAAAGAAAGAAAAGAAGGAAGGAAGGAAAGAAAGAAAGAAAAGAAGGAAAGAAAGGAAGGAAGAAAAGAAGGAAAGAAAGAAAGAAAGAAAAGAAGGAAAGAAAGGAAGGAAGAAAAAGAAAGGAAATGAAGGAAGGAAGGAGAGAAAGAAAAAGAGAAAAGAAAAAAAAGAGGGAAGGAAAGAAAGAGAAAAAGAAAGGAAGGAGAAGAAAGAAAAGAAGAAAAAGAAAGAGAAAGAAAGAAAGGAAGAAAAAGAAAAGAAATGAAGGAAGGAAAGAAAGAAAGAGAAAAGGAAACAAAGAAAGAGAAAGAAAAAGATAAGAAGGAAGGGAAGAAAGAAAGAAAGAAAGAGAAAAGAAGGGAAGAAAGAAAGAAAGGAAGGAAGAAAAAGAAAGGAAATGAAGGAAGGAAGGAAGGAAAGAAAGAAAAAGAAAAGAGGGAAGGAAAGAGAGAGACAAAGAAAGAAAGGAAGAAAAAGAAAAGAAAAAGGAAGGAAAGAAAGAGAGAAAGAAAGAAAGAAAAGGAAAGAAAGGTAGGAAAAGAAAGAGAAAAGAAAAAAGAATGAAGGAAAGAAAGGAAGAAAAAGAAAAGAAAAGAAAGGAAGGAAACAAAGAAAGAGAAAGAAAGAAAAGAAAAAGAAAAGAAGGAAGGAAAGGAAGGAAGAAAAAGAAAGGAAATGAAGGAAGGAAGGAAGGAGAGAAAGAAAGAGAAAGAAAGAAAGAAAAAGAAAGAGAAAGAAAGGAAGAAAAAGAAAAGAAATGAAGGAAGGAAAGACAGAAAGAAAGAAGGAGAAAGAAAGAGAAAAGGAAAGAAAGGAAGAAAAAGAAAAGAAAGAAAGGAAGGAAGGAAAGAAAGAAAAAGAGAAAAGAAAAAAAGAGGGAAGGAAAGAAAAGAAGGGAAGAAAGAAAGAAAGGAAGGAAGAAAAAGAAAGGAAATGAAGGAAGGAAGGAAAGAAAGAAAAAGAAAGAAAGGAAGGAGAAGAAAGAGAAAAGAAAAAGAAAAGAATGAAGGAAAGAAAGAAAGAAAAGAAGAAAAAGAAAAGGAAGGAAGGAAAGAAAGAAAGAGAAAGAAAGAGAAAGAAAGGAAGAAAAAGAAAAGAAATGAAGGAAAGACAGAAAGAAAGAAGGAGAAAGAAAGAGAAAAGGAAAGAAAGAAAGAAAATGAAAGAAAGAGAAAAGAAAAAGAAAAGAAGGAAGGAAGGAAGAAAAGAAAGAAAGAAAGAAAGAAAGAAAGAAAGAAAGAAAGAAAGAAAGAAAGAAAGAAAGAAAGAAAAAGAGAGAAAAGAAAGAAAGAAAGAAAGAAAGAAAGAAAGAAAGAAAGAAAGAAAGAAAGAAAGAAAGAAAGAAAGAAAGAAAGAGAGAGAGGAAACGAGAGCCAACACCGGCCCGCGGGACCCGATTTCCCTCGCGGCCCCCAAAACTCTCCACTGACCCCAAATCTCCGAGTTCTCGCAAGACGATTCACTAAAAGGCTAAAAAAACAAAAAAAAATCCCAAAACCCCCACAAAGCCCCTGACTGCGGCTCGCTGGGAGGAGACGGGGTAAAAAAAAAAAAAAAAAAAAAAAAAAAAAAAAAAGAAAAAAGAAAATGAAGAACCACTTGGATAAAAATATCTCTGGTTTTTTTCTTTTTTTCTTTTTTTTTCCACGTACGTTTGCAGATGAAAATCAGGGGGGAAATGGGTTTTTTGGGGTTTTTTTTGTTTTTTTTGGAAAAAGTCCTTCCTGTCTGAGCTTGTGTCTAATTAGCAAGTTCTGGAACAAAGAGAGGACGGAGAGATTGGAGGCTGTGTGTCCAGCCTCCAGTCTCTTTTGGGGAGGACGTGGGGGGGGACCAGGGTCCGAACCCCCATCTCGGCATTGCCACCCCCCGACTATATAAATAAAGGAAAATCCAGGCTGGGGCGCAGAGGCTCACGCCTGTCATCCCGGCACTCGGGGAGGCCGAGGAGGGAGGCTCGCTCGCTCGAGGTCCGGAGTTGGAGGCCAGAAAGAGCAAGAGCGAGACCCCCCTTGTGTCTACTACAAAAAATAGAAAGAAATTACTTGGCCAAGTAAAAATATATAGAGAAAGTGTAATCCCAGCACTCTGGGAGGCCGAGGCGGGAGGATCGCTCGAGGTCGGAGTTGGAGGCCAGCCTGAGCAAGAGCGAGACCCCCGTGTCTACTAAAAATAGAAAGAAATTAACTGGACAACTAATATATAGAGAGAAAAATGAGCCGGGCGTGGAGGCGCGTGCCTGTCGTCCCAGCTACTCGGGAGGGAGGCCGAGGCAGGAGGATCGGTCGAGGTCGGAGTTGGAGGCCAGCCTGAGCACAAGAGCGAGACCCAGTCTCTACTAAAAAATAGAAAGAAATTACTCGGCCAAGTAAAAATATATAGAGAAACTGTCATCTCCTCACTCTGGGAGGCCGAGGCGGGAGGCTCGCTCGAGGCCAGGAGTTGGAGGCCAGCCTGAGCACAAGAGTGAGACCCCGTCTCTACTAAAAAAAAAA